CCAAATATCTTATGTTGTCTACAGTTATTTTAAGTGGAACTTCTCCTTCTACCTCTCCCCACTGGGTTATGTTGGTAGCAAACAGAAATGCTGATGATTCTAATTTACTTATTCAGTGCCATACCAATCAAACTACCAAAAAGCTATTTTATAGAGTTAGAAAAAATAATTACGAGATTCATTTGGAAGAACAAAAGGTCCAGAATATCAAAGGAACTAATGAAAAGAAATGCAGGGGAAGGTAGCCTAGCAATTCCAGATCTTAAATTGTATTATAAAGCAGCAATCATCAAAACTGCTTGGTACTGGCTAAGAAATAGAGTGGTGGATCAGTGGAATAGGTTAAATATGCAAGACACAGTAGTCAATGACTATAGTAATCTATTATTTGATAAACCCAAAGACCCCAGCTTCTGGGATAAGAACCTACTCTTTGAAAAAAACTGCTGGGAAAACTGGAAAAGAATATGGCAGAAACTAGGCATAGACCCAAATCTCACACCATATACCAAAATAAAGTCAAAATGGGTTCATGACTTAGATATAAAGGCTGATACCATAAGTAAACTGGGAGAACAAGGAATAGTTTACCTATCAGATCTATGGAGAACAGAAGCCTTCATGACCAAACAGGAGATAGAGAACATTATGAAAAGCAAAATGGATAATTTTGATTACATTAAATTGAAAAGTTTTTGCACAAACAAAGCCAATGCAACTAAGATTAGAAGGAAGGTAGAAAATTGGGAAAGAATTTTTACAACCAGTCTCTCTGATAAGGGCCTCATTTCTAAAATATATAGAGAATTAAGACAAATTTATAAGAATACAAGCCATTCCCCAATTGACAAATGGTCAAAGGATATGAACAGATATTTCTCAGATGAAGAAATTAAAGCCATCTATAGTCATATGAAAAAATGCTCTAAATCATTATTGATTAGAGAAATGCAAATCAAAACAACTCTGAGATACCACATCACACCTATCAGATTGGCCAACATGACAAAACAGGAAAATGATAAATGTTGGAGAAAATGTGGGAAAATTGGAACACTAATGCATTGTTGGTGGAGTTGTGAAATGATCCAACCATACCCTTTGACCGCTATTGCTGAAGAGCACTTCTAGGGCTATATCCCAAAGAGATCAAACAAATGGGAAAGGGACCCACATGTACAAAAATATTCATAGCAGCTCTTTTTGTGGTGGCAAAGAATTGGAAATTGAGAGGATGCCCATCCATTGGGGAATGGCTGAGCAAGGGTGTGGTATATGAATGTAATGGAATACTATTGTGCTCTAAGAAATGATGAACAGGCTGACTTCAGAAAAACCTGGAAAGACTTTTATGGTCTGATGCTGAGTGAAGTGAGCAGAACCAAGAGAACTTTGTACACAATAACAGCCACGTTGTGGGATGACTAATATTGATAAACTTAACCCTTCTCAGCATTACAAGGATCTGAGGACATCTCCAGGGGCCTCGTGATGGAAAATGCTCTCTACATCTAAAGAAAGAACTATGGAAGTTGAATCACTATCATTTTTTTTTCTCTTCTGCTGAGTTTTGTTTCCTCTTTCTGATGGTTCCTCCTATTGGTTTTAATTTTTACTTACAACATCAGTAATTTGAAAATAATGTTTAATAGGACTGTAAATGCATAGCTTATATCAGATTGTGTGCCATCTTGGGGAGGGTGGTGGAGAGGAAGGGGGAGAAAAATTTTAAACTCAAAAGCATATGGAAGTGATTGTTGATAAATCAAAATAAATTAATAAAATTTTTAAAAAAGAAATGTTGATGATTTATATGGGTCTATTTTGTATCCTGCATCTTTTCTAAAGTTGTTAATTATTTCAATTAGTTTTTTAGTTGATTCTGTAGGGTTCTCCAAGTATGCCATTTTTATTCTTCCACTTTCTTTTTCTTGTCTTCTTGCTAAAGTTGGCATTTCTAGTAAAATGCAGAATAATAGTGACAATGGATATCCTTGCTTCACCCCTGCTCTTGTTTGAAAGGCTTCAAATTTATCACCATTACAGATAATGCTTTCTCTTTGTTTTAGATAAATAATACTTATCATTTTAAGAAAGGCTCCATTGATTCCTACGCTTTCTAATGTTCTTAATAGGAATGGGTGTTGTATTTTGTCAACAGCTTTTTCTCCATCTATTCAGATAGTCTTACATTTTTGTAGTTTTTGTCATTGATATGGTCAATTATACTAAGAGTTTTCCTAACATTGAACTAGCCCTGCATTCCTGGTATAAATCCCACCTGGTTATTGTGTAAGATCTCTGTGATATACTGCTGTAACCAGCTTGCTAATATTTTATTTTAAGTTTTTGCATCAATATTCATTAAGGAACAGATCTGTAGTTTTCTTTCTGTTTTTGCTCTCCCTGGTTTAGGTATGAAAACCATACCTGTGTCATAAAAGAATTTGGTAGTGCTCCTTCTTTACCTATTTTTTTCAAATAGTTTATATTGAATTGGGCTTAATTGTTCCTTAAATATTTGGTAGAATTCATTTGTAAATCCATCTGTTCCTAGGGATTTTTCATTAGGGAACTCATGTGTGGCTTGTTCAATTTCTTTTTCCAATGAGAAGGGAATTTATAATTTTCACATTAATCGCCATGATATGTGTAATGAATATACCAATAATTCCATTTTCTTAAGAGCTGCCTCTCTGGCTTGGGAGTCAGAGCTCACAATGCAGCTTAAACTGACCAGTCAAAACTTTGACAATGTTTGCAATCACTGGACCTTAAGTGAAGTGAATTAAAGATTGTAGAACCTGTTTCCATCACTGAGCTCTGGTTCTGTTCTCTAGGGGAGGTGGTCATGACCCCCAAAGACTTGACAACAGAATTGTTGTATTGTGAGACTTAGGGGTTGCTCGAGGAAAGCCACTGATTGTTTGTATTCCACCTTCCCCCCCTCCTTCCCTACTTATGATTTAAATATATAACCTGTGGGGCAGCTAGTGAATGGAGCACCAGCCCTGAATTCAGGAGGACCTGAGTTCAAATACGGTCTCAGACACATAACACTTACTAGCTGTGTGACCCTAGCCAAGTCACTTAACCCCATTGCCTAGCAAAAACAGAAAACAAACAAATAAATGTATAACCTGTGCTTTTACTTCAGCTATGAGAACATTCCTCACTCTGAAACTGATTAATTAAACCACTTGATCACTGGCACTCCTGTCTCTAGGTCTGATTTGTGCAGCACTGAGTACTCTCAGGTTAGAGAATGGCTCAGTAAAAATCCTGTTAACACTAAGATAGGACTATTTTAGCATTCTATTTCCTCTTCTGTTAATCTGGGCATCTTAATTTTTTGTCACTATTCATTCATTTCACCTAGATTTTCAAGTTTTACTGACATATAATTGGGTGCATTCACCCTTTTCATTTTTGATGCTAGTAATTTGTTTTTTTTCTTTTTTAAATCAAGGTAACCAATGGTTTAGCTATGTTTTTTTTTCATAAAACCAGCTCCTAGCTTTATTTATTAGTTCGATGTTGTTGTTGTTGTTGTTTCAAACTTTCAATTGTATTACTATCTCCTTTGATTTTCAAGATTTCCATTTTGTTGTTTAATTGGAAATTTTTCATTTGTGGGTTTTTTCCTTTTTTTTTTTTTGGTTGCCTGACCAATTTGTTGATTTGCTCTTTCTCTCATTTCTTAATATATGCTTTTAAAGATATAGAGCTCCCCCTAAGTACTACTTTGGCTGTATCCCACAAATTTTAGTATGTTTTCTCATTGTTGTCATTATTCTTAATGAAACTGATGCTTCTATGATTTGTTCTTTGACTTCTTCATTCTTTAGATTATTTAGTTTCCAATTCATTTTTAATCTATGCTTCTATGACCTTTTATTGAATGTAAGTTTTATTGCATTATGGTCTGAAATGTAGACTTTTAATATTTCTGCCTTGCTTCCCACCACTGGTGTTTCATCCACATGGGATCTGGGCCTCTCTTCTCATGCTGTAGATCTCTCTATCTGACCTCTAAAGTTTTCTTGGGCTGGAAGAGTTGTCACCTTTGACCTGACCTTTGGTTGCCTCTGCCACTCCAGAGTTCAATTTAAGGCATTATCTTAAAGTTGTTTGGAGGGGAATATTGGGAGAATTCAGCTGAATCCTTCCTCTAACCCATCCCAGAAGTTTTTGGCTAGTCAAATTGATAAGAAAATGTATGCCACAATTCATTCTATCATTGGGTAGAGAAGGGGAAAGGCTATTTGATTTTGTAACTCTAGTGGACGGTCAAATACAGCTGACAAAAAGAAGTGCAGTAAAATCTGAGAAAGCAGATGCAACTAGACTGGAACCAAAATGCAGGGGTATGGCAGGCCGTGAAGACCTGGAGGCATGGAGAGTTGGTTTTGATTATGAACAGAAGCTGCCAAATGTGTATCAAGTCTTCCTAGACATAATAAGCTGACCTGAATGTGATTTACACGCAGCAAAGAATGATCCAACTTGGGAAAACTCAGCTCAGTCCAGCTAGTAGTGGAATTCAGTTAACACTAAAAGTGACTCAAATAATATTCATTGAAAAAAATTTTAACTATAGTGTTCATTAAATACCTAAACGATTTGAATTCTCAAACTGTAACAAGCAAAGCAATGCTAACGTGAGTGCTTTTAGTTTTCTGTCTGGAATAGAATGTCCTTTCAAGTGTGGACTGCAGACACCGGGCAAGCAATCACCTCGGCTTTCTCAAACTCTAGGACAAGATACAGTTTCCTCATCTGACCCGCTCCACTGGGTCACACGACTGAACATTGTCCGGCCACACCCTCTGCCCCACGGGGCCAAGCCCATCCCAGGATGATCCTCCTCCTCCTCCTCCTCCTCCTCCTCCTCTCCTCCTCGGAGGGTTCTCCTCAGCCCCAGCGCGTGGTCCTAGCCTCGGCCCCGCCCCCGACCAGGCCCCGCCCTCCCGGCTGCCCGGCGTGGCTCCGCCCTCGCCTCACAGCGGGGGCTCGGAGGGGCCTGGCTGGCGCCGAGGGGCCGGATCCCGGGAGCCGCCGCCGTGGTCGCCATGGTCCGAGCCCGCAGCCCCGGCCGGCAGCCCCGCGGCCCCCCGGATGCCCCGGAGCGCCCGGCCCGCTGGAGCCTGGTCCTGCTCGGGGCGCTCTTCGCCGCCATCGCCGCCATCGCCGCCGCCGCCGCCGCCCGGGGATACGCGAGCTACCGGGAGGCCCAGGCCGCGGCGCGGAGGGTCAGGCCCTGCCTGGGGAGCTGGCGGACGGAGGGGCTGGGGGGCTCCGGGGGCCCCGCGGGGCCGATGGGGGGAAGGGGCGCCGCCCGCCCGCCAGGCTGTCTGTCTGTCTGTCTGACTAACGGTCTGGCCAGCCGTGTGACCCGTGTAGGTCGGCTGGTGTCCGACCGAGGGTCTGCCTGAGTGTGTGCCTCCCCCCTCCCTCGGGTCCCCCTCTTCCCTTCTCTCTCCCTCTTCTGTGTCTCCCCTTCTCTTTTCCCCTCCCCTTTCCCCCTCTCTTCTCTCTTTCCGTTTCTGTGTCTCTGTCTCTGTCTCTCTCTCTCTCTCTCTCACACACACACACACACACACACACACACACACACACACACAGAGAGTCTAAATTTCTGTCTCCCTCTCTCCTCTCTTCTCTCCTCTTTCCCTGCCTGAGCGTCTGTGAGCCCGCCTCTGGGTGCCCACCCGTCTGGTTGTCTCTGCCTGCCTAAGTGTCTGTCTCTCTGACTGCCTGAATATCTGTCTCTCTGCATAAGTATCTGTCTGCTTGTCTGTCTGTGTTTTTCTCTGAGTGTCTTTCTCTCTGAGTATCATCTGAATGTCCACCCACCTGAGTGCCTACTTCTGTGTGTCTGTCCAGTTCTCTGATCCTCTGCCTCTCAGTCTGCATGCCTGTATTGAGTGTTTATGTGGCTGAGGGTCTGCCTGCCTACCTACATGCCTCGAGTGTCTCCCTACCTGTCTGAGTATCTATCTGAATATGTCAGTGTCTTCCTACCTGCCTGTCTGTCTGTCTGAATATATTTGTCTGATTGTATGTCTGGTCAGCTGGCTACCTATCTGTGTCTGCCTGATTATCCTCCTGTATAACTCTATAACTGCCTTCTGATTGTCTGTCTGAATGATTATCTCCCTATTTTGCTCTGAGGCAGGAGGCAGCATTAAAGTCCCTGGGGACAGAAGGCCTGTTCCTCTTCTCCTCTCTGGATTTAGACAAAGACCTGTCCATCAGCCCAGAAGAGTTCAAGCCCATTGCTGAGAAATTCACAGGTAGTGGGAGAGGGCTGGGTATGGGTGGATGAGAAGGATATGAAGGTAGAGGGTAAGGGAAGCAACATCTCTGCAAACAGGCAGCCAGATAGTATAATGGCCTGAGTGTTGGACTTGGGAGTCAGGAAGTTCAGATCCTGCCTTAGACACTCACTAATTATGTGACCTTGGGCAACTTAACCTCTCTTTGCCTCAGTTTCCTGTTCTGTAAATTGGGGATAATAATAGCAGGTATCTCCCAGGATTGTTGTAAGAATCAAATGGGATAACACATGCAAAGTAATTTACAAACCTTAAAGCAATATATAAATGCTAGTTTTTATTTTTATTATTCACAACTCCCATTGCTACCAGCTAGAACAGAACACTATTCCCCATCTTCCCCCTCCCCTAAAAAAAAATATTGCAGAAGCTTAACAGATCTTTTTTGCCTCACCTGGAGAAGTAGGAGATAATAGGCATAGGTCTGGAATGAGGGCATAACCAAAAATAAAACTAGAAATATAGGGTGGCACCAGATTTTGGAGGGCTTTGAATACCAGACAAAAGAATTTGAAGTTTATTTAGGAACCAGCCAGAAGACTGGCCCCCAGTAACTCACGAGGATCATTTGTCACAGTGGAAAGAACACTGAACTTTTAGAGTCCTGGGACCTGAGTTTGAATCCAGGCTTATTACATGTATGCCCTTGGTAGTCACTCACCTGTGAAATGATAGGGTCTGACTAGGTGACCCCTGCAGCCCCTTCCAGCTCCAGCGCCGCTGTGGGAGGCTCACCTGTGGGAGGCTCGCCTCCGTCTTAATTGAGGATGCTGGTGGACGTGCAGTCTGGTATCCCATTGAAGGAAGGTTATCTAGAATATTCATGGGATGAGCAGAACGGGGCTTTTGTCCTAAGTTGCACCACCTTCCTCCTGCCCAAGCAGCTTTGCTGCTGTCCCCAGCCCCTAGGGTGAGTGCAGGCTTTCTCTGTCATTGTCAGCCTTTGTGGAGGACTTCATTATGGTGCCTTCAACACTGAGGATTCGGTTTTGTTTTTTGGTTTTTGGGTTTTTTTTCCAGCATAAATGACTTATCATGTCGATTTTGGCTCTTTTTCCTCTCCGTTCTCCTTGTTGCTGGAGCAATCTGAGGTCATCCTCCGCCATCCCTTTTAATGTGTCCTTTCTCCTTTCTGCTTGGACAGGCTTCCTTTCAACAGTTCAGTTCAGCCTACTTTCATTAAGCCTGCTGGGGACAGTGACTGAAGTCCTCAGCTTTACAAAGCTTGGTGGTGGAGTCTTGTGTGCAGGAAAGTTCTTAGTCAGTGTCTTCTGGATTCCTTTGTCTTCTGAGCTGACTCTGAGGTCTTTTTAGGTCAGGAAGTTTATTTCCAATTTTTTCTCCATATGTATTCCTCGCTCACATTCATGTAACCCACTTTCCTCACAGCCTGGGAAGGAGGCTGTTATCATTCCCATTTTCTGCCATCCTGCTTCTTTAGGCCCAAGCTGCTCTCCTTCTGCCCTAGGATGTTTGTTGATCAGAGGCTGTCCATTCTCAGTCCACAGCTTCTCTCCTTTGCTGCCATCTGCCTGTTCTCCTTCGTGTTCAGTCTGTTCCAGTCCGTCTTCCTTTTGCGGAATCTCTGCTCTGAGAGTAGCTGGTATGTTCTTTTCTGAAGGGGGCTTTTCCTTATGTTCACCAGTTTCTCGACATCTTCCTTTAAACCGCTGGTGCCCCTTTGCATAGTGACTATCTGCCTTCATTTCTTTAAAAGTGGTTTTTATCTGTTCTGTCTCATCTATTGATATTTCCTCAGTTGGTTTTGTTTTGTTTGTTTTTTTCAGTTCTTTCTTGGCAGGTGGCTTCTCCATCTTTTTGGTGCTGCGCTGTTCTCTGGTATTGTAGGATTCTTCAAACTGGACCCAGCATTACCTTTTTTTCCTTGGCTTGAGTGTTTTCTGTTGTTAGAAAGTTCTTTGTGTTTTCAAAGCAGTTTAGATGGGGCTAGTCTGGAGTGGACATACATGCACACGCGCGCGCGCGCGCGACACACACACACACACACACACACACACACACACACACACACACACACACACACACACACACACTCTGCAGCTTTTTACTTTACCATCTTCCCCAAAGTCTTCTCCCTCCTGTCTCTGGCCCAGCACTGTTAAAGAAATGGCCTCACAGATGGGCATGTTCGCCAGTAGGATGGGGAAAGGAATGAAGATGTGGGGTCCCGTCCCACCAGGATAGGCCCTGAGGCTCAGACACACACAGGTTTCCCCGTGGCAGGGCAGAGCATTAATTCCATCTGTTCCCCCTAGGGTCGATGCCTGTCACTGACTCTGAGGAAGAAGAGAAGCCCCCACTTGATTCCAGTGAGATGCTGTACGTAGAAGAGAGCCTGTTTCCAGAGGAGAAGCTGTCCGTAGTGGCCCGATTCCAGCCCCTGCTCCTGGAGACCATGACAAAGAGCAAAGATGGTTTTCTGGGGGTGAGTAACTAGCAGGCAGTGGGGATCCTGAGGTGTCTGTCTCTTGCTTTCTCCCCCCGTCGGCCTGACTTGGGAAGCGGGGATGTGCAGGGTGTCATGCTGCCTACCCAGGAGGACGTGGGCCAATAGTCCTGTAGCCACGCTGAATTTTTTCATGCTGGATTTAGAGTCCGAGGACCAGCTTCAAATCCTGCCTCTTCTCATTTAGTGCCTGTACGATCTTGGGCGGGTCAGTCTCCTCCTCTCTTAAGTAAAGAGGTTGCCCCCGGCAGTCTCCACCCTCCCTTCCAGTACCAAATCTAGGATCGTTCAGTCCCCACCAGTGGAAGTAGAACCGTGAGGCAGCTAATCCTGACGTTGTTTTGATTTGACTCTGGGATACATTTTGATGGTGTGGTTTTATTGACTGCAGACCTCCCATCTTGTAATGTTTACTCTGATACAGCAATGAAATGATACTCCCTAAGTACCCAGGACCCCAGAATTGAAGGGGTGGGCTGAAGTTTTGCTGGGTTTGGTGGTCAGCCAGCCTGCATTTAAAAATCTGTGGCCAATCATCTGTAAAGTAAACATACAGGTAAATGAAAGAGAGAGCTGACTTACCACATACAAAAGATGCTGACTATAGAGCCCGGGGCCCACAAGTCACCCTAAAGCCCTAACGAATCCAGCTTTCCTCCCAGCCATTCAGGAGAGGAAAGCCCCACAAGAGGTTGTGTCTGTGGTTTGAGGAGATACGCTTTAAGTTCATCTCTCTGGGAGCTGCTGGGGCAGTTTTCGCTGCCTCACCTGGCCCTCCCCCTTTTACTGACAGCCTCATCTCCGCCTCTGCTGAAGAATGGGCTCTAGCAGAGCAGGCCTGGTAGAAGGGTGGGGGTACGGCTGGAGAGGTGCATGGGGGCTTCAAATTGTTGTTTGCCCTTTGTTCTCCAAGGACATCACGTCAGGAAGGTGATGCCATGACATGCCAGTGAGTTGGGTTTAAGTGAGGGAAGGCTGTGCAGAGTCACCAGCCTCACTGTCTTCTCCAAAGCCAGCTGGGTCCATTGGCCAGATGTAGCTCAAGACAACTGGGGATGGCCCCGGGGGCTTCAAATACCAGGCAGTTAGAGGCCAAGTGGCTGGGAGTCAGAACTCTTACACAGCTGGAACACAACTGCACAGGACCAGTCACTTCCTGCCTCCCACCCTCATGCTACTTCCAGATTCTTTGGTGAAGGCCCTGGTTATGCTCCTGAACCTTCTGCCAGGCAGAACCACCCCAGTGGCCTGCCAGTGGCTAGGTGGACCCAACTCTTCCATCTCACAGCTCTGTTCACCTGACCCTTTGCCGCCTCCTAGGTTTCTCATCTTGCTCTGTCTGGGCTTCGAGAATGGAAGACCCCTGCCTCACAGCTCATGGAGTTCTCTGCTCGCCAGTTCAAGCCTTTCCTGCCCCCCAAGGGCAACATGGAGCTGGGAGAGCCCTGGTGGGTTATCCCCAGTGAGTTAAGCATCTTCACTGGATACCTCTCTAACAACCGCTTCTACCCACCTCCTCCCAAAGGCAGAGAGGTAAGGAAGGGACTCTAGCTCCAGAGTTCCTTAAGAGCGGGGACTGCCTCCATTTTCTATTTCTTTCTGTTACCAGTTCTTAGCACAGAATGCGACACATAGTAGACACGTGCTAAAAGCTTTTCCATTTCATTCCAAGCTTCTGGGAACAACTGGAGGAAGTAGGGGAAAGGGCATGGACCTTTCTAAAACTAAGCTACCTAAGTCAGCAGAGACCCTGGAGCCCTGGGACAGATGCAAGCATCAGATCAGGGACAAGATGGGGGGTATTAGGTGAGCTGTTGGGGTTGATATGGTGTTGGGCCACTTGTTGAAGACCAGCAGGCTCCTGAATAGTTCCCATGCAGCAGTGGTGGAGGCATGGGACCCAAAGGAGAGGAGCTTCCAAGTGTTCCAGGAAGGGCACCTTGCCCCAACCCATTGGCAAATGGAATGAAGCAAAAGGCCCTGCCGCCAGGTGCCAAACTAGCACTGAGGCCCATCCTTAGTGAAGGAGCTCTGGCCAGCCTCTCAGGGGGCTGTACCTTGTCTCCCACAGGTCGTCATCCACAGGCTGCTGAGCATGTTCCACCCAAGGCCCTTTGTGAAGACCCGCTTTGGGCCCCAGGGCGCAGTGGCCTGCCTCATGGCCATCAGCGACTCCTATTACACGGTGGCTTTCAGGTGAGCACTGGCCCCTCTGGTGATCCAGGATGGGGGAGGGGAAGGAAGACAAGACTGTGGGGCAGGGAACTGCACTGGAAACACCTGCTGTTCGAGAACCCGTCTTCCGACGCTGCGGGGAGGCTGCATCACGTACTCGTGGATCGCATGGATGCCATTCTCATGCTCCTCACATAGCCCATCCTCCGAGGGCTGAGGGGAGGGCAGAGGCTCTGTAATAAGCTGAATGGGAGCCTTGATTGGACCACGGGACATCCGATCACTGTCCTGGGGAAAGTTACCTGCAGATTTCAGTTATCTAGGTCATGCTGCAGCAAGAGCTGCCTTTCCTTAAGTTGTGCAGTACTTTTGTCCTCGGGCAGGTGGAGCCAGCTTCCTCCAATTCAGCAAGCATTTATGAAGCGCCTGCTATGTGCCGGCCGTTGTGCTAGGCTCTGGGGATAAAAAAGTCAAAGGTGAAACTACCTCTTCCCCTCCACTTCCTGTCCCGCTTCCTCTTTCCACAGAGTCCTCTCCTCTTCACAGAACTTTTACCTAAGAAGAAGCAGAGGTGTCAAAGGCAGCCTGACATCTGCATGTGGAATGCAGAAACTAGATTAAAATATAATTGGGAAGCATTTAAAAAAATAAATAAAAGTACAGCATAACCAAAATAATGTTACATTTTAAAACTAAGTCAATATGAGGCAGGAACAGGGATCCTTCTGTATGGAGTGGCCGCCTTTCTGTTTAAGTTTGACACCACTGATATCGAAGATAGAATGCTGGGCTTGGAGTCAGGAAGATCTGAATTCAAAACTAGCCAGAAACGCTAATTATACGACATAGGTCAAGTCACTCGACCTCTTCAAGCCTCAGTTTTCTTATCTTGAAAATGGGGGGAAGCACCCACCTCACAGGGTTGCTCTGTAGATCAACTAAGATAGCATCTGTAAAGTGCTTCACAATGTGAGTACTATATAAATATCAGCTGTTGTAGTTTATCTCCTGCCCTTCCACTCTCCCATGTGACTGAACTGAACCTCTCCTGAATGGTTCACTTCACCTGAGGCAGCCTTTGCAGGGGCAGAGGAGGACACTCGGTAGCTCAAACCCTGCTCTTCCTCCCAGCCATCCCCAGGACTCAGCTACTTCCCATTCTTGCTTGTGTTTCCTTTTCCTCCAGCCATGGGATCTATACTTAATTCCAAATTAACAGACTCTCCCATTTCCCTTTCTGGTTCTCTTGAACCAGAGCTCTGTGTGAGCTCTGAGGCATGTGAAAACAGCTTTGTCCAGTCCTGTAAGGTGTAATTTTTCACGGTAAAGCACCTTGTGTTTGTAGAAGGTGTCGGATATGTAGCGGGAAGCCAGAAAGGGGATTCTGACATCCTCTGCTGAAACCCTGCTACCCTCCCTCAGCCCACTGTGGAAAGCAACTAGTGCCTCCTCCTAGCTGTGCCTCCTTCCCTTCCGGCCACAGGATCCATGCTGAGTTCCAACTCAACGAGCCACCCCACTTTCCCTTCTGGTTCTCTCCAGGACAGTTCACTGGGCACATCATCCTCACCAAAGATGCCACCCACGTCCGTGAATTCAAGCTCTTTGTGCCTAACCACAGGTAGGATCCTGAGAGAACTTGGCTAGGGGATCGGGAGGCCCAAAAGACATGTATCCCTTTGGGGTTTTCTGGGAATGTGGGGCTCTGGCTTGTGCCATGTTGGTAGCTGCTACCACTATCTCTTTCAGTTCCCCTTCCTCACTCCCTGGAACTGATCTGTTGGGAGGGATCTGGAGCCCAGCTGCTTTAGCCAGGAGGAAATGGGGGGGGTCTTAAGTGGGACATTGTGCCAAATCAGCCCCGTGCGTCAGCCACCTGCTGGCATCTGGCTCTTCCATCAGTGTCTCTAACCTAACAATTTGCACTTGTCCCCAACGCGCTTTGAAACAACTGCCCTGGGCCCGTCTTGCCCACTTTCTTTGAGCATTTCTGCCATCACCTTCCCTATATAGAGAAGGGAACAGGAGCATAGTGCAATGGACGGAACCCGAGGCCAGGAATCGGGAATCATCTCTTCCCAGCTGCACTACTAGCTCGTGACCTCAGCAAATCACTTCTCCTCTCTAGTCTTCAGTTTTCTCATCTGAAAAATGAGGAGAGTATAACCCTGCCTTACCTACCTCCCAGGGATGGAGTGAGGGGGAAGCTCTGTGCAAATGTGAGGTAGGGGAAGTAGCTCTGAGGCTGTAGAGCAGGCCTGCTCCAGAGGATGGGCTGGAAGAGAATGGAGGGGCAGGGGACTCCCCTGGGCTGCCTTCCCTGCACCCCTCAGGCATTACCTGCCCCCTCCCCAGTAAAGAAGGAAAGGGCCGCAGATGGCTGTGATGGAATGAGAATGAGAAAATTGGGAGCTGGGCTGTGGGGGGGGGGTGGAGGACAGGGGTCAGCGGGGCTACCAGACTGTCCTCATATAGACCCTCCACCAAGTCACAAGCCCGATTCCCCTCTTGTTCTGTGTGCCCCACCCAGAGAGAGATGAAGAGCTCAGAGAGTCCTCTGAGCTTAGAGTGGACGTCAGGGCTCCAGTTAATGTGACTGCAGGCCAGCAGAAGGGCTGGGGCCCTGAAAATAATGTTACAGAAGTACTGCTGAACTGGAAGTCAGGAAGGAGAACTGCAAATTATGGCGATGATGGGGCAGCTAGGTGGCGCAGTGGATAGAACTCTGGCCCTGGATTCAGGAGGACCTGAGTTCAAATCCAGCCTGAGACACCTGACACTCACTAGCTGTGTGACCGTGGGCAAGTCACTTAACCCTAATTGCCTCACCAGAAAAAAAAAAATGATGGCGATGATACTTAATAGGTAATGTGACCAGACCTCACTTTCATCATCTGTAAAATGGGAATATTTGCATTGCCTAGTTGTACACCTTCTAACGATCTCTGCCTTAAGGGCTCCTCAGTCCTCCCAAATCCCCACCTGAGGTTGTTCCGCTTCACCCAGGGAGAAAGTAAGTCCTAGAGCTCCCCCAAGTGGCAGATGCAAACATTGCTTCAGGCCAGAGAGAAGCTCACCATCTTAGAATCCTTCCAGCTCAGAGGCATCCTTAGGCACACAGCAAAAACCCTGGAGAAGGTGTGAATGTCAGGTAGGCTGCCCCAGCCACCAAGGTGCATGTGCAGCACAACCTCAGGATACCCATCCTCAGGGAACTGAAGAGCTAAGCTAAGCGTACAGATGTTTAACCCTAGGCCATGTCTCCAGAGCCTTCCCCTCCCCTTGGGAATCCCACCCAAACCCTGTTCTTACTAATAGAGTTCCTACTTGGGCCTTGACCTTTCTGGCCATCCTCCTATCCCATAGCTCACCTCTTCTGCCAAAGAGTCGGACCCTGTACCTGCATTAGTCCTTTTGCCTAACCCTAGAGCTCCATTTTCTAGCCAGCTTTCTTAGTCATGGCCCCATTGATCTGGTGATATGGCCGGCCTGGCTGTGAATGTGGAGACTGGTGTTGAGAGGATAAGTGACTTGGCCCCTAGTGAAGAACAAGCCCCTTTTCTGTCCTACCCCTACTTGGCTCCTTATTCAAACAGGTTCTTCCTACCAGGTCTCTGAATGTGGACATGGAGTGGTTGTATGGAGCTAATGAGAAGAGCAGCATGGAAGTCGACATTGGTTACCTCCCTCAGGTACGCATGGCTCTGCTGCGTTGGCCAGGCCCATCTGCACCATTTCCGCAGCTCCCTGTCTCCATCCTCTCAAGTTAGTTATACTACCCAGGGCCTAAATTTTGTCTGGGAAGGTCAGAGTATAGCATCTATTGCCCCATCTCCCTCCTAGCTATAGAGTAAAAGCATTGATTGGGAGGGCATAGGGCTCCACACTTACCTGTGTAAGCTATGAGAGGAGATATTCACTCTCTGATTAAGAGGAAGCTTGTTCCCTGCTGAGGTACAGCTTAGAAGAGCCAAACCCTGGCATGTCCCCCTAGGATAGTAGCATAAGGACTTCTGGTCAAGATAGCTGCCTAAGGGGGCAGGCAACCCAGCTCCCGCATAGTTTACTCCAAAAAAACCTAAAAATAGTACCAGACTTAGTAACAATTAAAAAATCCAGTCAGTAACACCACGAAGTGACTTTATCTACTCCAGAACTACTCAAATGGCCGGAATCCCACAGGCAATAGAAAAGGGGGCCCTGCCATCAAAGCCCAAACCAGAACAGAAAAACAAGACAGAAGCTTCCTAGCATGACCAGAGACAGACCAGAGATACTTGTAGCCTGCAGAGGCTCTTTTAAGGAGGCAGCTAAAGTGGAGAGCTCCCACCTAAAAATGCCTAAAGATCAAACCAAGAAAAGAGTTATTCCATAACAACTAAAGCAGACATTCAGAGGAATAAATGGACTATATTAATACCTAGAAGAAATTCAGCAAGAGATGAATAGTTAGATAAAAAATCTGGGGACAGAATTGGAAGAATAGCTTAAAACAGAAAATGGTAAACCTTACCCAAGTAACAGATTCCCTGAGAGCTAGAATAGACCAAACAGAAATTAATGACTCTATTAGATAGCCAAAAAAAAGAAAAGAAAAAAAATTTTAAATAAAAGAAAATGTAAGGTATATGATAGCAAAGATAACTGACCTGGAAAACAGGTCAAGAAAGATAATTTAAGAATCACTAAACTCCCTGAAAACTATGATTTAACAACAAAAAAAATAAAGCCCAGACACTATATTTCAAGAAATCATAAATGTAAATTGCCTAAATATATTACAATCAAAAGGGAAAGTAAAGATAAAAAGAGTCCACTGATAACCACCCAAAAGAAACCCTAAAAGGACAAGTCCCAGGAATGTCTTAGTCAAAATCCAAAGCTTCTACATCAGAGAAAAAAATACTGAAAATGGCCAGAAAGAAAGAGGTCAAGGACCAAGAAATAACAGGCAGAATCACACAAGACCTGGCAGCTGCTACCGTAAATAAGAGGAAATCTTAGAATAGAATAGTCCATAAAAGATAGAGATTTACAACCACCAACAACTTACCTTACAAAGCTGAGTGGGGAAATGGCCCTTTAATGGAATAGAAGAGTCATTGGGAAGGCACTTGTCCCCTGAGAGATGTGTGTGGCCTGCTAGGATCAAGGGTTTTGACTCTGTAGGCTCAGAGATAACTCCGCTGTCTCCTTTACTATGTAAATAACACTATTTTATTGGGGGGGGAGGTTTCGGGGGGAGGTGTAAGCCAGTTCTCTGGATAAGTTACAGCCTTGGTGTTAGCAGTTATTCCATTCATGGTGAAATGTCAAGAGTCTCTTCAGTAAGAAGGCACCTTGGTCTACTTGGTCTACTCACCCTACCTCTGTAATAGCCACCGATTCCATTCCAAGTCACCTACATCCTCAGACCTGCTGCCTTAGCTTGGCTGCTGCCGCCTCTTCAGCTCTGTCCCGTCCCAAGGACTTGCTCCCTCTTCCTGCCAGCTGCCTCTGGGGGCCTCCACCAACTCGCTCTTTATAAGAAGGGAGGCCAGCTACTGTTGAGGGATCCCTGCCTCCATGTATGTTGGTGTGACTGGAGTTAGATAGACCTGCTTTCTGAGCAGTGCCTCCTCTAGCATCTCCTATTGACTTTGTACGCACCACCATTTTCTCTTCCATTTGGCAATTCTGCAGTCACGTGGGGGTAGCACAGGAATCTCTTCTCTCTCAGACTCCCTAATATTCCAAAATTAGCATCCAGTGCTAATCAGGCCCGTCCCTCCACAGAAGCTTCTCCTAGAAAAGTAGGCCTCCCAGGGTAGTAGATTTTAAAGACCCATAAAATGCTTCCTCCACATTGGGGCAGGTCTGAGGGAGTTTGATTTGGTCAGTCTTCTTCTCAAAAGTTTTCAGTGGCTCCCTATTACCCCTAGGACAAAATACAAACTCCTCAGCCTAGGATTTGAAACCCACCCCAGGCTTGCTCCCACCTTTCTTATCTCCTAGTCCACCCTTTCATACATTCTACATTCCAGTCAGACTGGCCCACACCTGGGTGCCGTACATGACTTTCCATCTCCTGCCTCTGTACCTCACACACCTGGATTGCTGTCCCTCTTCCCTATCACTGCCTCTCAGCATCCCTAGCTTCCTTCGGAGCCAGGCTCTGCCTGAGCCCTTTCCTGATCTCTCCACCAGTGCTTTCTGCCTCTTCACATTACTTTGTATTACTTCCCAAATCCTTCTGGTAGAGTATAAGCTCCTTGAGGGCAGGAACGGTTTCGTTTGTGTCTGTATTCCCAACATCTGGCACCTACCACATAGATACTTGATAAATGGCTGTTGAAGTGTCCAAGAGAGGCCCAAGGCTTGATGTTTTCTCATCTCCATGTCAGAGTTCAGCCAGGTGTCCTGCTGGCCATTCCTAGGTCAAGACAAAAGGTGCCTTCATATGGCAACACCTGCCCAAAGGTCAGAGGTTGGGATGTCTTCACCTTTTACGTTGCATGGATAGACTCCTTGGGCAGTCTGGGGAAACCCATGGATCTTTTTTCAGAATAAGGATTTTAAATGCATTAAATAAAATAAATAGGATTACAAAGATAACTAATTATATTGAAAATGTAGTTATCAGTCTTTTTAAAGTTCATGAGCTTCCTGATAAAACCTTGTTTTCAGAAGAAATGTAGAGTAGGTCTCTCCCAAGGTTTTTAAGGACAAGAATAAATGTTTTGTTGATGCTTCTTTAAAACGTGATCACTTCAACGTTCTGACCATGTCTGACCAACCGTGTGCGCTTCATTGCCCACCTAGAGCCCCCGTCTCTGTGCTGCACACCTGATACGTGGGAAGGGCCTTTCTTAGTGCAAGCAGGACGCGTATGAGCCCTTCCCATTGTTCCTTCCGTCCTGGGGACAGTCTTGCACTGAGCCAACATTTCTCATAACTGACCATTCGTATTTGCAAGAGGTGGCAGTCTGGCACAAAAATGCAGCCAATCTGATTAACCCATCTAGGGATCACACCTACCCCTTGGCACCGTGCTTGTCTAACTAGCCATGTTTAACTGGTTCAGACTCCTATCCTCCCATTCCATACAGCTCTGTAGTCAGACTGATTTCCTTGTGCATGTCTTAGATCAGCTGTGTTTAGGCACGGCCTGTCTCTTCCATTCATCTGATCTGTCTGGTACTGGCTTCCTCTGCAGTACCCCCACAATGCCGGAGCCGAAGCCCTAACCAAAGGGCTTGCTCAGCCCCACACGGAGCCAGCACCACTCCTTGGGGCTCTCTCATTCATCACTGGCTGCTTCGTTTTCCTCACAGATGGAGCTCGAATCCCAGGGCCCCTCGGTGCCATCTGTGATCCAGGATGAGAATGGCAATGTGATTGACAGCCGCCTGCCTTCTGGGGAGCCCATCCAGTTTGTGTTTGAGGATATTGTGTGGCAGCGGGAGCTCAGCTGGGAGGAGGCAGCCCAGCAGCTGGAGCTTGCCATGTACCCATTCAAGAAGGTGAGGCCTGACCAGAGCAGAAGACAGAACCCCTTCCTAAGCTGACCCTTCAGAACAGATGTTTTTGGGAGCTCCTGGGAGGACGAGAGCTGGGACCCACCGAAGTTTGGGGAGCTCCCGGGGGGACGAGAGCTGGGACCCGCCGAGGTTTGGGGAGCTCCTGGAGGAACAAGAGCTGGGACCCGCCGAGGTTCAGGGAGCTCCCGGGGGGACGAGAGCTGGGTCCCGCCGAGGTTTAGGGAGCTCCCGGGGGGACGAGAGCTGGGACCCGCCGAGGTTCGGGGAGCTCCTGGAGGGACGAGAGCTGGGACCCGCCGAGGTTCAGGGAGCTCCCGGGGGGACGAGAGCTGGGTCCCGCCGAGGTTTAGGGAGCTCCCGGGGGGACGAGAGCTGGGACCCGCCGAGGTTTGGGGAGCTCCTGGAGGGACGAGAGCTGGGACCCGCCGAGGTTCGGGGAGCTCCCCGGGGGACGAGAGCTGGGTCCCGCCGAGGTTTAGGGAGCTCCCGGGGGGATGAGATCTGGGACCCACCGAGGTTTGGGGAGCTCCCGGGCTGGAAGGAAATGGGATTTCAAAGCAGGAGGGCAGGCAATGGGAAGTTCTCCCGCCAGAACTCAAAGTTCCACGGGCTTCATGGGAGGAAGCTTTGCCAGGAAAAGAACGCGCCTGTGGTCCCTGCCTTAGCCTTGGTCAGTCGGTCAATAAGTATGTGGTCTCTGTGAAGAGAGGATAACCCTGACCATAGGGCAGGGAGCTCTTGGTAGAGAGGTGCCAAGAGGTCCCCCCAACAGCAAAGGGCTCTCAATCTCCATCTCTCCTCCACTAGGTCACCTACCTGCCGTTCACTGAAGCATTTGACCGAGCCAAGGCTGAAAACAAACTGGTGCACTCCATCCTGCTCTGGGGGGCCCTAGATGACCAGTCCTGCTGAGGTGAAGGGCTGGGATTGGCCAGGAGAGAAGTGGGAAGGGCGTGGGCAAGGAGAGGGAGTTCAGACCACCTGTCTGAGAAGACAGCCGATTCATGCGGTGGAGTTGTGAAGGACTCGATGGTCACGAAGATGGTTAGAGCTGAGTCCCAGTGGAGACTGTGACTAGTCCTTAGCTCTTGGGGTGAGGTACATTATCCCCTAAATGATATCCTGCTTTCTCCCTGGAGCAGGTTCAGGGCGGACTCTCCGGGAGACAGTCCTGGAAAGTTCGCCCATCCTCACCCTCCTCAACGACAACTTCATCAGCAGCTGGTCCCTCGTGAAGGAGCTGGAGGAGCTTCAGGTGAGCAGGGCTGAAGGAGGCCCCTCCCCCGGCTCCATGGCACTGAGGGAGAGCACTGGGGTGGGGGTGGGGGGGCGAGGTTTCAGGACTGAGCCACCCAACTATTTACTGTCCCACTGTTAACTCCCTAGAACAACCAAGAAAATGAATTCCACAAGGAGCTGGCCAACCTGCACCTGGAGAAGTACAGCTTCCCCGTGGAGATGATGATCTGCTTACCCAATGGGACAGTGGTATGTGCCCCTCCTCACTTAGCTGCCCGCCTGTCCCCCTCACACATCGGTTGAGCGCCTGCTGGCTAATTGGAGGCAGAGGAGGGGGGACAACAAGACTTACCGCTCCCCACCCACCCCTGTGTGGTGGTCGTAAGTGACCGTGGCCAGACACTTCACCTGGTGGCCGGCTCTGCAGTGAGCCTTTCTCCGCTGACCTTGGGTGAGCTCCAATGGTGCATGGGTGGGGGGGGCTCTTGGGAGCTCCTCCTTAGGAGGCGCTGCCACGGCCTTCCAGGGCCCAGGCTCCTGCCATGCCCTTCCACAACATGTAACAACAACAGTGACAATGGTCAGCATTCATATAGCGTGTGCTGTGTACCAAGCACCATGCCAAGCACTTTCCAAACATCATTTCATGTGATCTTCACAACAGCCCTGGGAGGTGGATGCTTTTATTATCCCTTTTTTGCAGCTGAGGAAACTGAAGCAAACAGATTAAAGTGACTTGCCCAGGGTCACAAAGCTAGTAAGTGTCTGAGGCTGGATTTGAACTCAGATCTTCCTGACTCCAGGCCCTATGCTCTGTCTACTCTGCCACTAATTCCTGCATCAGAGGAAGGCTTCAATTCCAGAAAATCTGCTCACATAAAAAAAAAAATTAAGGGAATCATGAATTGAACAATTATACTGACAGAGCAGTCAGGAGAGGCTTCCTAGCTGCAGGGAATTCTGATAACAGCAGGGATAGAGAGGACATTCCCTGCAGGAATGTGGCAGAGATGGAATCAGGGAACGAGTGTGACTTATTAAAGGGACAGGGAAAAGAAAGCCACCCTAGAGTAGAAGGTTTATAGGAGGAGTTAAGGATGGAGAGACTTGAAAGCCAGGCCATCTGGATTTGGTATGAAAGGGAGAAATGATGATAATAATGATAAAAAAAATGTATTATGGCACTTTACAGTCTACAATACATTTTCATATATTCTTTCAATTCTCACAACAGCCCTGTGAGGCAAATTATTCCCATTGTACAGATGAGAAAACTGAGGCTGAGAGAGGTTGAATAACTTGCCCAGGATCACATAGCTAGTAATTATCCTGGGAGAGGTTTTGAACTCAGGGTTTCCTGACTCCAGGTTCAGCATTCTATCCACTATGCCACCTAGTTGCTTCATAGGTTCTTGAGCAGGAGAGTGACATGATCAAAGCCAAGGTTTAGGGTGGGAGAGGAGGAACATCTCTTTTTCCTTTGTATTTATTTAATATTTTATTTTTTCCCAATTACATGTAAAAAAACCCCAATTTCTAACTTTTTTTTAAATGTTGAGTTCCAGATTCTCTCCTTCCCTCCTTGCTTCTTCTTGAGAAAGCAAGCAAACATGTTTCTATATTAGTCATGTTGTAAAAGAAAACACCAAGAAAAAATAAAGTTGAAAAAATTCTGCTTCCATCTGCATTCAGACTCCATCAGTTCTTTCTGGAGGTGGATAGCATTTTTCATCATGAGCCCTTAGGAATTGTCTTGGGTCATGGTATTGCTGAGAATGTCTAATTCATTCACAGTCGATCATCATGCAGTACCGCTGTTACTGTGTACAGTGTTCTCCTGGTTCCGCTCACTTCACTTGGTGTCAGTTCATGTAAGTCTTTCCAGGTCTTTCTGAGAGCGTCCTGCTCATCATTTCTTATAGCACAGTAGTCTTCCATCACAATCATATACTGCAACCCATTCAGCCATTGATTGATGGGCAGCCCCTCAGTTTCCAATTCTTAGCCACCACAAAAAGAGCAGCCATAAATATTTTTGGACCAATAGGTCCTTTTCCCTTGTGTTTTTTGTCTGTTTGGGATACAGACTTAGTAGTGGTGTTGCTGGATGAAAGGGTTTTATAGTGGTTTTTTATAGCCCTGTGGGCATCATTCCAGATTGCTCTCCAGAATGGTTGAATCAGTGCACAACTCTACCTGCATCAGTGTCTCAGTTTTCGCACATCCCCTCCAACACTTGTCATTCTCCTCTTCTGTTAAATTAGCCAATCTGATCGGTGTGGGGTGGTATCTCAGAGTTGTCTTAATTAACGTTTCTCTAATCAGTAGTGATCTGGAGCATTTTTCATATGTCTGTAGATAACTTTACTTCATGTGAAAACTGCCGGTTTATATCCTCTGACCATTCTTCAGTTGGGGAATATCTGAAGGCTTTTCCTTATTTTTATAACACTGACTCCGTTCTGTATGTAGTTGAGAAATGAGGCCTTTCTCAGAGACACTTGCTGTAAGAAATCTTTCACAGTTATGATTCTGTTGTTGTTTAGTCATTTCAGTCGTGTCCAACTCTTCATGACCCTATTTTTTTTCTTGGCAAAGATACTAGAGTAGTTCACCATTTCTTTCTTCAGCTCATTTCACAGATGAGGAAACTGAGGCAAACAGGGTTAAATTACTTGCCCAGAGTCACACATCTAGGAAGTGTCTGAGGTTGGATTTGAACTCAGGTCTTCCTGACTCCAGGCTCAACACTCTATTCCCTGCACTATGTATTTCTGTTCATCCTGTTTTTCTTCTTGTTTATCCTATTCTCTCTCTCCTTTCACCCTATCCATCCTCAAAAGTGTTTTGCTTCTGACTACTCCCTTTCTCAATTTGCCCTCACTTCTATCACTGCCTCCCTTCTTTCATCCCCTTTCCTCATTACTTTCCTGTAGGGTAAGATAGATTTCTATAGCATACTGAATGTGTATGTTATTCCCATCTAGAGCTAATTCCAATGAGAGTAAGATTTAAGCACTCCTCCCTACCTCCCCCATTTCCCCATCCACTGTAAAAGCTCTTTTGCACTTCTTTTTTGTGAGATAATTTATCCCATTCTCTCTGTCTTTTCCCCTTCTCCCAATGCATTCCCTTCTCATCCCTTAATTTTGTTTTTTGAGATACTATCCCATCATATTCAACTCATACCCATGACCTCTGTCTATGTATATACTCCTTCTAGCTACTGTAATAATTGTAAGGTTCTTAGGAATTACAAATATCATCTTTCCATTAAGGAGTGTAAACAGTTTAACCTTACAGAATCCCTTATTATTTCTCTTTCTTGTTTATCTTTTTAGGCTTCTCTTGAGTCTTGTATTTGAAAATCAGATTTTCTATTCAGTTCTGATCATTTCATCAGGAATGCTTGAAAGTCTTGTATTTCATTGAATTTCCATTTTTTTCTCCTGGAGGATTATACTCAATTTTGCTGGGTAGGTGATTCTTGGTTGTAACCTAGCTCCTTTGTCCTTTGGGATATCATATTCCAAGCCCTCTGATCCTTTAATGTAGAAGCTGCTAAATCTTGTGTTATCCTGACTGTGGCTCCATGATTATTTGAATTGTTTCTTTCTGGATATTTGCAGTATTTTTTCCTTGACCTGGGAGCTCTGGAATTTGGCTACAATACTCCTGGGAGTTTACATTTTGGGATCTTTTTCAGTAGGTAGTCAGTGAGTTCTTTCAATTCCTAATTTATCCTCTAGCTCTAGGATATGAGGGCAGTTTTCCTTGATAATTTCTTGAAAGGTGATGTCTAGGCTCTTTTTTTATCATGGCTTTCATGTAGTCCAATAATTCTTAAATTATCTCTCTTTGACCTTTTTTTTTCAGGTCAATTGTTTTCCAATGAGATAGTTTACAATTTCTTCCATATTTTTTTCATTTGCTTCCATTTATTTTTTAAGGAATTTTTTTCTTCAGTGAGCTTTTATACCTTGTTTTCCACTTGGGCAATTCTACTTTTTAAGGTGTTCTCTTCAGTGGATTTTTATGCCTCTTTTACCATTTGGCCTATTCTTTAAGGTATTATTCTCTTCAGTATTTTTTGTGCCTCTTTACCAAGCTGTTGACTCTTTTTTCATTATTTTCTTGCATCACTCTCATTTCTTTTCCCAATTTTTCCTCTACCTCTCTTGTTTGATTTTTAAAATCCTTTTTGAGCTCCCCCAGGAATTATTTTTTTGGGCCTGAGACCAATTCACACTTTTCTTGAGGCTTTGGATATACCAGTTTTGACTTTGTTGTCTTCTTCGGAGTTTGTGTTTTGGTCTTCCCTGTGATCATTGTGACTCTCTGTGGTCAGGTTCTTTTGTTGTTGTTTGCTCGTTTTTTAGCCTATTTCTTGACTTTTTACGTTAAGGTTGGGCTCTGCTCCCAGGTTGAAGGGGGCACTTTCCCAAGTTTCAGGCTCTTTGTGCTGTTGTTTTCAGAGCTAGTTATGGGATTCTGTAAGTTTTCAGTTCTTCCAAAGTGGTATGATCTAAGGAGAGGTGTGTTTACTATTCTCCTGGCCTGTGATCTATGAGAGACCACAAGCACTGTTTTCTGCTCCAGAACTGTGACCAGGGTCTCTGCTCCCCTGGGGCTATCCGCTCTGATGTGCTAATTCTCCTTCTCACCCTGGGACTGCAACACAGGACTGTGACCCTGGTCTCCATGTCTGGGTAAGGGAACAGAGTCCTGACCCCAGTGCCAGCAAAAGGACCCCTGTAATCTCCTTGTGACCAGTTGGCCGACCCCCTTAATGTCTGTGGGCTGAGAGCTATGAAAGCTGCTGCTGGCTTGCCAATGAATTGTCTGCACCAGACTACACTCCATTCTCATCTCAGTGCAGCAGATCTTTCCTGCCAACCTTCTAGGTCCAGCCAAAGAGCCTGGCTTTTCAGGAAACCAGTAGAAAAAGACTGAGCATTAAAAAGCCATAACTATTAGAGAAAACAGGAAACCAAGCGATCTGCTCTTGGAGCTGCACCTTCCCCGCCTCCCTTTGCCAAGGCCCCCTTCCCGTAATCACCCCATCCCTTCTGTGGATTCTGCCACTCCAGAATTTGTTTTGAGGCATTATTTAAAGTTGTTCGGAGGGAATGTGAGACAGCTCAGGCAGGTCCCTAACTTTTCTCCACCATCTTGGCTCTGCCCTCCAGGAATACCTTTTACTGCAGGGCTCAAGCCAAAACTACAGCTTTCCCATCCTGTTAACCAGGGAGACCAGAGCAAGAACATGATTTCCGCTGCCTGTTTCTGAGTGGCTAAGAGTGGGATCCAGCCACGCTAAGCCTTGTGAGTCCTCTGCTTAACCCTCTCTTACCTGTTGCTTCTTTCCCAGGTGCATCATATTAATGCCAATTACTTCCTGGACATCACTTCCTTGAAGCCAGAAGATATTGAGACTGGTGTCTTCAGCTTCTCATCAACCTTTGAAGACCCATCCACAACGACCTATGCACGATTCCTGAAGGAGGGACTTCGCCGAGCCCAGCCCTTCCTTCAGCCCTAGGACCCCAGCCAAAAGGGCACAGTGCTAGATGAACTTTCTTTTTCTAAGCTGGCTTCTTTCAGTCCCCAGGTGTGACTGAAATTCCCCATCAGCTACAAGGACGGAGTTGAACCTAAAGCCAGAGTGCTCCTTCACACATTTCAGTCCCACAGAACTGTTTCCACAAGATGCAGCAACTGGCCTTGGCCTCTCTGGAAACCCCAGTGGTGGTGTAGGGCTCCCTATTTCAGGTTCCATTTCTTCATGTTTCCTCCAGCTGCTCCTGCTTTGAGCCCTAAATATTAATTTAGAAAAGAAATAGGATTGGCATCTAGAGTTTCCTGTGGGGAAAGACCCATTCTGGTGGCCCTGGCACCTGAGGACTTGGCAGCCCTGGGACCCTTCCTTTTGTTCTCCATTAGGGCTGTCCTATTGCCTCTCGTTTTTCAAAAGCAAGCAAAGCATCAAGAGAAGAATCCTGTGCATTTGGGCTGAGGAGCATCGGGGAAGGAGAGCTGGGCTTCGGTCTGGAAGGCACCAAGCTGCGTGCCTGTTGGCAGCTGCCTCACCCTCCGTTGTCCTTCCTGAACAGCCTTTCTGCTCCCCTGAAGTCTGCCGTGACTCATTCTCTTTATTCTCGTTTTCTCCAAGATGCGGGGGAGTTGGCCCAGGCCAGACTGCCACCTGGTTCAGGTCAGAAGAGAAAGGGAGACTGAAGCTAGATGCAGCCGTGTCACCAGAAAGCCCCTAAGGGGCCACACTGTCTGGTCTCTGTTTTTCAGTGAGAAACCAGGTTTGGGTAGAGACCAGGGGCACCCTTGAAGAAGATAAGTCATGAGAGGACCAATGTAGAAGCAGTGCAAGACCTGAGTGGCCAGACCTCATGCCTGCCACCCTCCTCGGGGGCCTCAAGGACAGAGTGCCTGTCCTCCCCACATGCCGTTGGGTGTCCTTTGCTTGTTTTCTGGCCCCTTGAGTGACTGTCCAGCAGCATGGTAGCCCCACAACCCCGCAGGCCAAGTGCCTGTTGGTAAAGCAAGGAGACCTGGCTCTTAAGAGTTGAGCCAAGCACTGCGGCGCTGGCCTTGAGAAGTGGAAATCAGGACGCTTCCCCTCCCATTCAGTTCAGTCCTTGGGTGCTCACCTGAGTGCAACCTTGACTGCACAGTATGGTAAAGGGAAGAGTCTAGATGTGGAGGCCAAAGAGCTGGCTTCAAATCCTGGATCTCCTCATCCACATGAGTCACAATCAGGATTTCAGAGCAGGAAGGGACCTCGTTGGCCTCCTGGGTCCACCCATCCTCAAAAAAGAGCCCCCACTGTACCCAACCAGTGTCATCCAGCCCCTCGTGAGGAGGAAACCCATTACCTGCACGTTCCACCCTTGATAGTCAGGGAGTTTTTCCTCATGTCAAGCCTAGTTCATGTCTGCTTCTTTGCAGTTTCTACCTGTTGCTCCTGATTCTGCCTCGTGGGGCCAGGCAGGATAAGTCTGATCCCTCTGACAGCTGACAGCCCTTCAGGTGCTTACTGTGCGCTTACTGAGCATCAACAAGCCCCCCTTGCCCCTCCAGGCCTGCTTGAACAATGAGGAGGTCGGATCAGATGATCTGAGCAGTTTCTTACCATTTTAACTGATCCAGTCTCACTAGACACCACCTCTCTAGCAAACTGAATGAAGCTACTTGTTCTGTGTGGCTAACTAGACTCTCAACACCCTCTCAACCCTAGCCGGAGGGCCCCTCTCCCAGCAGAAGGATTTTTGCAAGTGATCCCAGTGGGACTTGGTTTTGGTTTGGTTTTTTTTTTTGGCTTTTTGTTGAGGCAATTGGGGTTAAGTAACTTACCCAGGGTCACACAGCTGATAAGTGTCAGGTGTCTGAGGCCTGGATTTGAACTCGGGTCTTCCTGAATCCAGGGCTCTATCCACTGCACCACCTAGCTGCCCCTCAGTGGGACTTTTTAGTCCCAGCTCAAGAAACATTTATTAAGCACATCTAGTGTGCAAAGCACTGTGAGAGTCTACCAGCCCAACACAGGTTCTTTTCAAAAGAATTTGATCCAGCCAAACAGCCTGGCTTTTCAGGAAACCAGTAGAAAAAGACTGAGCATTAAAAAGCCATAACTATTAGAGAAAACAGGAAACCAAGCGATCTTCTGCTCTTGGAGCCACACCTTCCCCGCCTCCCTTTGCCAAGGCCCCCTTCCCGTGATCCAGGTCAGGCCACCACTTCTTGAGTTGGTATTCAAGGCCATGGTGCTGGAGCACCTTTTTTATATACATATAAAAGTATTTTTCCTACTTGTACTTTCTAGTGTGCACAGTTTGTAGATATTTTTGATAACTCCACTGAGGAGGAAGAGGGACTAATGTTCTCTGCCTGTAACTGTTGTTTATGATGGCTTGATCCTAAATCCCAGATGGGTCAAGCTTGATGTCTTCTCGACAGTAACTGGAAGGGAAAGAAAACTCTCTTCCTTCTCTTCACATTTTTAAACATTCCTCTGGGGGAACACATCACCATTGCTCAATGATTACTTATCTGCCCTTCATGTCCTTTCCCTAGGGGTCCCCCATCCAGATGACAACATCCTTAAGTCTGCAGTCCTAACTAGGCCAGTGACTCCCCCTATGTCAGGGGCGACAGCTGACCACTCCCCTTTAAGGCTGAAGAAACATTTCTTTGGACCCACTAGCCTAAGTTCACCCAAGCTCTCCCCAGACTCCAGGAAAGCATTAGTACGCTCTCAGATGCCAAGTTACATTGTTGAGCACGATGGAAGCCCATGCGGTTCCTGGGTCAACTCATCTAATTGTCCGTGGCATTAGTGAGTATTAATATTACCACTCTTTTATTCTGTTCTTCACCCAGTGTCTGCAGCCCAGCAACAACTGAAAGGCAAGGTTATTTGCAGACCAAAAGGTTGAATGCCTTCCAGACAGCTCCCTTCTTGGAAAAGGAAGAGACAGAGCAGCTCAGCTCTGCTTCTTGCTTTGCCCTTCTGAGATGTGATGCTGTCTATCCACGGTATGGCATGTAGAACAGGCTGTTGTTGATCAGAAAGCCGGGAAAGAGAAGCAAGGTGCTTCCCCAGCATTTCCCGAGTCGTGTCTTAGGCAGAGTTTGAAGGGTGTCCAATGTATGGGCTAAAAAAGACCGTAGAATTCACTCTGTCTTGCCATTCAGTGGTGGAAGTAATAGAGGGTTTGCATATCAGTGAGCTGAAAACCCATGTGATTAATTGCTCCATTTGATTATGGTATTGGCCTATTGAGTATTCCTCCTCCTTTTTAACTAATGTCTCCGTACACTATAGATGGGACCCAGAGCCTTAATCCTGAAGAACATAGGGGGTGAGCCTCCATCTCATGTTCCCCTTTCGCCCTTCCCTCTGTTGTATACCAGTGCCATCCTTGTGTGTTCTAATAAAGTTGTGGAAATGTTCATGGACCAGTGTGCTATCCTCTGATGCTGAGCCAGTCTCCTGCCACTTGTGATTGGTAAAAGAAAAAAAGGTCAGGAGGAACAAGATATTTCACATCTCATCCTGAAAAGCCAACTAACGGCATAGCCTTCAGGAGAGATGCCTAGGGTATCTCTCTGAAGAGAAGGGACCTTCAAGGAAAAAACCTCTGACAAGGAAGCAACTTGTTTACAACAGCAAAAACCCCCAATCCAATCCTGTCTGATCTTGGCCAAGTCATTTGGGCCTCAATTTTGTAGCCTGTTAAATGAGGAACTTTCATAGGCTCAAAAGAGCCTTCAAGATCCTCTAATTGGACCCCTTCATTTTACTAATGAGGAAAAGAAGGGTGGTAACAAACATAAAGAGAACAGAAATTGTACCTAAGTCTTCTGGCTCCAAATTTGTAGTGTTTGTACAACATGACATCAGGTTCTTCCCAGCAGTGACTCCATCCCTGTGGAGAGGAAGGGTGTGGTGTTCCATTTTAGGAAGGAGATAAAAACATTTTAAGTGGCAGTTCCTGGAGGGCATTGTACTGAAGAGAAGGCCTCTTTTCACAATCAGAACTTGGCTCCCACAGAATTTTAGAATTGGAAAGGAACTCACAAGCCACCTAGTCCAACCTCTCCCTGGACTGGTGCTTATCTGGCCTTTAACAGCAGACCTCAAACAAAGACCTCAAAGACTCGATTTGGGAGAGTTCTCATTGCTGGCAAGTTGTTGCATCAAGTTGAGCTCTGCCTCTACAACTTCGGCCTTCCGGGGCTAACAAAATGTGGTTCCCTGGGACCTGAAAACTTGAACTGACAAGAGCTGCTGAGTCTTTTCTTATTATTTACTTCTTTATCTTGTGTTTCAGTTCCCTAATGAGCCATTTTTGTTCTGCCCTTTGCAGTCCAGTTATAATTTTCCTTGGCAGAGACAGTAGGCAAAATGAGAAAAATTGAGTTAGTTATCTTCTTTTGAATACAGTATAGTGATTAGAGTCAGGAAAAATAAGGCCCAAACCTGTCCCTGACACTTGCCAGTCGTGTGGCCATGGATAAGTTAATTTTTTTCCATTTTTTAAATTAATTTATTTTGATTTATCAACAATCACTTCCATAAAGTTTTAAATTTTTCTCCCCCTCCCTCCCTACCTCCCTGCCCAAGACAGTGCACAATCTGATATAGGCTATACATATACATTCCTATTAAACATATTTTCACATTAGTGATACTGTAGGTAAGAATTAGAACCAATAGGTGGAACCACCAGAAAGAGGAAACAAGACAAAACAGAAGGAAAAAAGGAGCAAATAGTATGCTTCTGTCTGCATTTAAACTCCATAGTTCTTTCTTTGTGTGTGGGATGCCACTCAAAAAACAAAACACAGGGGTATTCAAGGAGAAACAGAAAGTTAATTTATCATTTCATATCTTGAGATTTGGGTGTCCCTCCACCAGTATGCTCTGATGAGGCAAGACAGACACAGAGACAAAGAACCAGATTAAATAGCCCTAATGGGCAAATCCCCCCTCCCACCAACTGTCCATTATGAGAAACTCTACCATAGAACAAAGGACATAGTATACATCTCTATATTTCTTAGTTTGCTGAGATAATGTCAAAGAAGCAATTAAAAACGTGCAGTCAAGCTAGACGTTAGCCAGGTCACCATGACAGAAATATAGCTTACAAAATGCAGAAGGGATGTTTCAGACTTTAACCACTGATATGGCACTAGAAAAAAAAGAACTTACAGAAATCTATACTTAACCCTATCCTACCTCCTGAACTTATTACCAGATTTAGGATAGTCTTATCCCAAACTTTAGTTATACTGAGAAGTCTTCACTGGGACATCCCACTCATTTGGATGTTGTGAGAGATGAACTCTCAGAAGTGAAGCCTCCTCAGGAGGGTCAATGGTTCTTGTTGAGTGGGATGATGGGTCCTGTGAAGACTTCTTAGAAGAATAAATAGAAATTGTATCGAGACTCAAGGCAGGCATAGTAGCCCAACAGGCCTAAGTTTCAATTTACTAGAAATCACCTGATTTACGGGAATCCAGCCCCAAGTAACACCCCCCCCAACTTCTATGTCATTGTTCAGTTAAAGTTTTCCAAGCCTGAAACCCTCAAAACCCCCCTGTATTTTGTTGTTACATCTGTTGCTATATTTCAGTCACAGTGACCTGGCTATATAGCATAGCATCTAGCTTGACTGCACATTTTTAATTGCTTCTTTGGTATTATTTCAGCAAACTAAAGTGTGGGACAACTGAAAGTTTCTCATATAAAATGGAAGTTATGCTCCAAAAATGTAGTAAGGCTTTAGCATGAGTTGGGCCTAAGTTTCACTTTCCTGTAAATTTTATGTTTTTAGGGAAATAAAGTCCTACACCAGCTGCCCACCCCCCTCCCTTGTTTTGTAACCACTACCCCAGCCTTATCTTTGCCAAATGAGGCAATCCGCTAGCTTCCAAGCTTGTTTTGGGTAAAATGTATCTCTTAAATCCTGGGTAAAGTTGTTTGTCTCTTACCTCAGCCAATGGGGATAAAGAGATTCAGGTAAACGAGTGGGAGGGGGAGTTGTTTGTCTAAGGGTATATAACTGCTTGTTTGCTGCTTGGAGCCTGCCTCCCTACTCCAGGTTGCCCTGGGTAGGTGATGCCCAATTCTCGCACTAGACTTGCTAGACTAAAACTTCTGTTTCTACTGAGAGAAACCTCTGAATTTTTATTTGGGTAGGTGGTCTCAATCCCACTCACTAAGAAATATAGATATGTGTATTGTTTATTTTGTTTTCAGTTTCTATGGTATTGTGAGCCAAACATTGGCCAGTTGGTGGGAGGGGGGAATTTACCCGTTAGGGTTATTTAATCTGGCCTCTGTTTCTGTAATTTGTCTCCCCTCATCAGAGCATACTGGTGGAGGGACACCCTATTCTCTAGAATAGAAAATAAAAATTAACTTTCTGTTCCTCCTTGAAATACCTCTGAGAGTGTTTTGTAATTTGAGTCGCATCCCACAGTGTGGATAGTATTTTTCATCATGAGACCTTTGGAGACGTCTTAGATCCTTGCATTGCTGAGAAGGGCTAAATCTGTCAACGTTAGTCATCGCACAATGTGGCTGTTACTGTGTACAGCATTCTCCTGGTTCTGCTCCCTTCACTCAGCATCAGACCATACAAGTCTCTCCAGGTTTTTCTGAAGTCGGCCTGCTCATCATTTCTTAGAGCACAATAGTATTCCATGACATTCATACACCACAACTTGCTCAGCCATTCCCTGATGGACAGACATCCTCTCAATTTCCAATTCTTTGCCACGTGGGTAAGTGCATTAACTTAACCACTCAGAGTTTCACATTGCTCATACAGGAGACTGATGTGACTGTCCCTTCTT